GCAAGTTGTCTGCTTCTTGCGCAGGTGCTGTGGTGACGTCAGAACAACGCCGAGCTGTGATTGGCTCTGATTGAATGATAGTTGGTAGACCTCAATGCTAGACACCTCAAGATCTAACCACGAATCTTTTTTGTTTTCCATCAGCCAATAAGAGATTGGCGTTCTGACATCATCGACTCCTGTGCAAGAGGCAGACGAACTTGCGCTCCGTATAGCCTTCGTTCGCCACGGGTGACAAAAAACAAAAACAATCTCTCCCCGACGGCGGCCGCATTCGTTTTAATTCTTGGATAACGTAAGCGAAAGCTGGTTCGCGGCTGCTATGCGAGAAAGCGAATACACGGATGCTGAGAACAGATGCGGGAGGTTAATTTATTGAATGTCGCAAATAATTTCCGTGTTTACTTTTGTTTTCTTCAAGAAGATAGAAGCCTCGAATCGTTTGAAACATTTCTTGAGGAAGGATATTGGTGCAAAAAGGACACTATATTCGCAACGATATTCACTGACTTGGTGATAGAAGGCGAAATGTTTGCGCACTTAAATGGTCAGTACAAAAGATGCATGGGCAGTCCAGGGATTTTTCGATTAGAGTGATTAGAGGTAGCGTGTAACGTGTGTTCGTCTTATTTGTATGTGATCTGTGCTGAATGCATCGTATTAATCGTGCGATGAAAATGTTTGTGTGCAAGATGGGCATCTCATTGCAAATGCGGAAGCGTTGAAATAAACTATATTTAATAGATTTCTTTTTTTCTATTTACTTTTAATTGGGTGGGGACTACCGCTACCTGGATTACTCATTTTCAATTTTAATTTTTGTTGCGCCTGCCATCTGGTGGTAAGTGGTATAACCACACGCTTCCTCTTGACCGTCACTACCTACGATTACTAGGCACCTAGTAACATATGTGGCAAGCAGTTACTAGCTTTTACGTAATAAATACTTCTAGCTTTTTTTTTTTTTGTTTTAAAGAGTGTAAGGTTTAGACTTCCCCGGATGTTTATTTGGACTGAAAATCGGCGGATGTTTCTTCGTCTGGGGCGCGTTTCTTTCCTGCGTATGAGGGGCCTGTCATATCTGTCATACAAAAGCAACCTGCAGACATGTTCCAAGCATACCTATGTGCTTCGAAGATGCTTGAGGCGCGTCCGCAGAGAATGCGGAGAGCAAGTCGTCTGCTTCTTGCACAGGGGCAACGTTATTAGATTAGCTCAGTTACGGAACTGCTCATAGACGCTGCATGCACGAACAGTACCCCCCCTCACTCACCACGACTCGCCAAGCGTCGCTCGACGCGCCGCCGGAAGGCTGCTTTGGTAACTGCGTGTTCTATGGGAATCGGGCACGGTGAAATCGGGTCGGGATCGCTACGTACGTTTCGAAGCACGGCGTCTAGATGGCGCTTCATCTCTGCTCTTTGGAACGCACAGTTATGAAACAAAAATCTAGATGGCGCTTCGAACGACACTTGGCGGATCGAAGTGAGTGAGGAAGGGGGGTACCCCCTTCCGCTCGAGTTCCACAACTGAGGCAATCTAGTAACGTTGCGCAGGAGTTGCGGTGACGTCAGAAGTACGCCGAGCTCTGATTGGCTCTGATGGAAGGATAGTGGGTAGACCTCGAAGCAAGCCGCCTTGAGCTCTACCCTCCTTCAATCAGAGCCAATCAGAGCTCGGATTTCAGACGTCAACAGAACCCCTGCAAAAGAACCAGACGAACTTCCGTTCCGCGTTCTTTCATGTTGTGTGCAGCGAACACCACATCATGTCTTTCGTACGCTGCAAATGAGGTTTTCGACAAAACACTCCTAGCTGAAGCAAACATTTCTCCAAATCAGTGCGGTCGTTTTGTGCTTTTAAGTTAACTTCGTACTTTTCGCAGAAGCGGACGTTTATCGGTTCCGGTTTTAACCGATTTCGTATATTTGACACTGGCGATGTTTTTCGGCCAAAAACCGGGACGTCTAGGGCATATAAGTCATACCTGATAAAGTCGACATACGAACGAATACGTTTTCGGTATGCAAATCTCGGCGCAAACGTTTACTCGCGCACTCGTACCTCAACTTCCGACGAGAACCATTTAATGGTCGTCACACCTTGCGCTAGCCAATAGGAGCGAGGCGCTTCCCGCGAGGCAAGGCCTGTCGAAGCGGTGATCCACTAACGCAATGTCCACTAAAGTTCGAGATCTACCCAGTCACTAAAATTCGCCAAATAAGGCGGGCGAGAAACTTTAGCGGACGTACCAACTGCATCTTGGCGCTATTTTGAAACGCCTTTACGTAACGCTTTTCCGTAACGACAGAAATTGAGCCTTGGCCTCCTCATTCTACGTCATAGCAAGTTTTATCGAACCCATACAAAAAATAAGTTCGGCTTAATAAATCCCAAGAATAACCAGAACACGCGTATTTGGAAAAGCCCGTGGAGAAAGTCAAGAGGCGAATTTCCGTACTTTATGATGGCGCATGTTCATGGACGTTTCATCGCCTGGTTGACAGAGGTGGAACAAGTAGAAGACCGGAGCCTTAGGTAAACAGGCCCCAGTGATTCACGCCCTAGCCTTTAGCCGGTTCTTAGATATGCTTACCCGATAAGCGTATGCCAATCTAGGACACGGCTAAAGGCTAGCGGGTGAATCACTGGGACGTGTTTGCCAAAGCCTTCCTCCCCCTTCTCTTCTCTCTCCCTCCGTAAACCTGTAGATGTGACATCCATAAACATGCACCAGTCAGAGTGCCGAAGGTGGCCTGCTTATTTACCCTCGACAAGCTTTTCTGAATACGCATCTGAGCGTATGCTGCGAACAGTGACGAACATTGCCCAGCTATGTTTCCTCTGCGCGTGGCCTGAGAACACTGATCAGTGTGCCCAGCGTGGAAGGCGACCCTGCTACCGGGCACTGTTGTGCGGAGCGGCGTTTGAAGGAACGACGTTCCTCGAACGCGTTTCATAAGGAGGAACGGAGGAATTCCGCCGTTCCCCCCTTTAATCGGTAAAATTAAAGCGGAAACTCGTTACACAAGAAAAAAGAAATAGAAGAAACGGCGGTTTTTTTTTTTACTATTAATTTAAATTTTGTTTTTCCAATTTAGTGGGCACTTACTTTTTTTTTTAACGAATATTTGAACTTCCGACTTAGAAAAGAACTAGAACAAACGTGATCGTGGCAACACGACGCGTAGTTCGACGTGGATATTGCCCCTTGCTCGCTTTATTTAATCTCCGGATCATCTAGCGCAATATTTTATTGAAAGACGCAAAGGTAACGTTAACGTAACGACCCTTTCCAAAATTGGAAAGGCAACCGAAACGCTTTTTTTTGTCGAACAACTGGAACGTGAAACCGGAACTCGCTCCAAGATTGAAAAGGAACGAGAATGTGAGTTTTCGTTTTCGTTTTGGAGGAACGTGGGCAACACTGCTACCGCACAATGTTTGTCGATTTTTCGCCGCATAATCGCTCAATCGACTCCATCCAGCCTTTAAATGACGGGGAATGTCGGCGAGATCGGGGCTTCTCGTGGAAGCGATTGGACAATGACGTCACTCCATAAACGCAGTTCGTGGGTTATTATGTGGGGTGCGTGTGTTCGTTAAATACCGATAACACATGAATGTTAATTCCCGAGACCGTTTGATTAAAATCGGGATTAAAATTAAAATTGTGTCAAAAGTAAGGGTGTAAAGGATCTGGGGTAAATTGAGCATCACTTAAAGAATAAAAATTGAAAAAAAAAGAAGAAAAACGATAAAGGAAGAGAGAAAGGGGGAAAAATAAATACCAAAGGTTCGTGGGAAAAAATAAATCCCAAACAAGTACCCCCGAATTCGAAGAAAAATAAACCCCGAAAACACGGAACCCCATAGCTATTGTACACGCAGGTCATTGACAACCGGCACGCACATATTCCCACACACGCGCGCCACTACGTACGCACGAACGCGGCATTCAGTGTAAACTCAAGGAAACGCGACATTAAAAAGAAAGAAAAAAAAAAACGGCATTTTATTCCGTAGTTACGAAACAGCGCGCGCTCCACCAATAGATCGATCGCTTCCGTGACCCGGTCGTGGCCGGGACCATTCCATCAAGCTACTCGGCGGACTCGCACGCCCGCGGGTACGTTCCGTTGCCAACTGTCTATTTCTAAGCCCGACGAGAAAGGATCCTATTTCTGAGAAATCTGTGCGAAGTAACATCCAGCTAATCAATTGAGGTTCTACGTGCAAGTTCACGTAGACCACCTTTTGTCCTGTACCCTGGTCAGGTTTTATACTTCTACTCAACTTGACGGAATACGTATCTAAAATTTGACAGTTTTAGTAGATCGTTCAGATACCTCCGATAACGATACGACGCATGTGCAAAGGCGTCGGCGGAGTATCGTTATCAGAGCCACCGGAACGATCTACTGAAACTTCCTATTAACGAAAGGAGGGAAAGTAAAATCTGCCCCCTCGAGGACATAAACGTAAGAAATGGTGCACGTCAAATCGAACCGTTATTGCTCGTGGTCCCTCAATTATGAACACACAGCGGAGGAAGGGCGCGTTTGGAACTGCTCCCGACCGTCTCCTCACGTTGCGCGTCTTTTAACAATCTGCATCTGCATGACGTGATTCAACGTCAGGACTGACGTCACGTTGTTCAAGACCGCCACGAGTTTTGCCGTTGTTTCCACATGTTCTTCGGCGCTATCATCGAAGGTGCGTTCGAAGCCATGTCTAACAATGCGAGCGCGCGATTAGCTCCACAATAAAACAATCAATAGCAGACAAAAAATACTTTGAAAAAACTGACAGTTGCTGCAATCTCCGCGTTAGCAGGTCACAACTTGATCCGCAGACCGCTCGACGCGCTCGTCGAAGCGGCAGCGACGAAGACGCCATTAACAATAGCGTTTTTCAACGAAGTTGCGGCAGCAAAACGAGCTGTCCGGCGGACCCGGCAGCAACGCGGAGAATTCCACGGCAAAAAAGAAGCGACTCACCAAGGGGACGATCCGATGCGGCAAGGCGTCTACTTGCGAGACGCCAGTATCCCATGTCGTCCGACGACCGCTTCCAGCAGCGGCAAGAGCCCGCGCTGACGTCAGCCTCCTGCAACGCACAAAAAGAGACGCAGCGGTCTTTCTCAAGCGCGTCGAAAGCTCGCCGCGAACAAAAGGCAAAGCAACGAGACTCGAGAAGAAAACGTGTCTTCGAGGCAAAGACGCCGGCGGCGGCTGCAGGCAGACCGAGTCCAGCAGACGAGGGCCTCCTATAGTGCCTCCACCTGGGGTCGGCCTTGACAATACGCGAAAGAGACGATCGCGCACGCGGAGCGAATAGTAAGAAATAACAATCGTAAAGCACGGAACGGCTTCCGTCCCCGGCCGCGTACACGAGAAAACGTTAACCGAACGGGAAAGAAGCCACGCGAAATATTGGCGCTGGACGCCGCGGCACGCTCGACGGCGGTTGTAGATGGCTTATCGGGTCTGTGGTTTCCCCGTAGAACAAGAGAAAACGCCCTCACTCGGTCTCTGCTCACGATGGACCGTAGAGAGCGCTACGAGCCATCGAAGTCGATCCAACGACGCTGGAGTGTTACGCAGCTACCCGTCGGGGCTTTGGTCACGTGATATTATTGCGGCGCTGGATTGGTGGGAGAGGGTTCTAGAGCCCGCTGCGCTCTGTCGTAAGGTAAAACCGAGGACGAACTGCTCGATGCAACTGCTCACACATTCAGAGCCGGACGCTTCCGTGCACGATTAATGCGCGGTATAGGCGCGTCTACGGGTCGAACCGCCTTTTTTATATTTCCGGTGCGCGATACTCCGCTGGAAACGAAGGTGCAAGACCAAGAAGCTGGTCTGACCCCGCGACGTATTGTGGCCGTGCTGCGCGCTGCGGCGTTGTAGAACGGGGTCGTGGTAAAGCTTGTGCGCGCGAACCTCGGGGGCACCCCGTTTTACGGTAGCCTGGTAAACTGCGGAGGCAACGGCCTCCCAGATCAAATGAGAGCGTCGGAGCGAGTCGCGTGACAGAACTTCGCGTGAGTGTACCTTACTTACCACAGCCTCAGTATACCATAAGTAAAATCCCGTCAGGCAACATTGGCAGTCGCAATTTCTTAGGCAGGAGGCGTGTGATTAGACCCGAGTCCTCGCCGAACTCTGAAGTAGCACTCGTTTTCGATACAGCTGAGCCTAGCTCACGCCGAACGCGGCCCCGGTGTCTAATAGATGTTCCGACTGCCAATGTTGATCGATGGACTTTTGAAAATAGTATATTGACACAGCAGCTTCTAGATGGTCCGCACTCTTGAAACCGCTATATTGTGAGCAGCAAAGCGACCACAGGTTTGGGCTGTCGTCTGCTGTAAATTGAGGAATGATTTGGGAAGAACGTTCGCTCTATCTAAAAACAGCTTGCGTGTGTTCTGACATTACACGGCTCGAAGAAACCGTTCACGTGTCCGAGATACATATATTGGTATGGAAAAATACACCTGTGGAGATTTCGCTCTCGCAGTAGGGCTAAGCGAGACTGAAAACAATCACCAGAGGAAACGTGCCTTTGTTATTTTGCGGTAACGCGTAGAGCTGCGTTTCGGAAAGTTCGTGCTAAGCGGGCAAAATAACAAAGCAAGCACAATAAAGAAAAGAGAGATAGAGAGAGGGTGAAAATATATGTACACAATGCAGCAACCGTCGCAGGCCTCACGGCTCCTGTAACAGCCGGGGACAGATAATGCGGTTGTGGTGCTACTATCTGAATTCAAAGAAAATGTTCTCTTGACATTATGCAAAAGTGTACGCTTTGTTCTTTCATAAAAGCAAGAGAGAAAAAAAAAAAAAGGTCGATAATGCATTTATTTCTTTTTTTTTATCTTTTTTTTTTTTAAGCATAAGCGCTTGTTTAAGCACTTCTGCTTAAAAAGTCTTCACTTTGGCCGGGTAGCACAGCTTGCTGCTGTCTGGATGGGGCCTTTTCCTTCTTGCCTTAAGTTACGCTGAAACGAAATATATTGCGAGTCTCGGCTACAGTTTTGCAAAAGGGCAAACGAAATTCTTTATGAGTCAACATTCAACGGTGTAAACGAAGTTTATATTGAAGACATACGCGTATCTTGCGTTCGAGTGGACATCAAACCGATATGTTTAGGTTTGAGTTGCACCTGGTTATACCCAGTTTCACGTTGCGATCTACCGAAAGGGGCTTAAAGAGCCAGGCAAGCCCATCCAGCGTTCCACTCGTGTCACGTGAATTCACGCTCCACACATCGCACCGCCCAGCTGGAAGGTCACGTTACACGCCCCGAGCTATGGATTTGACTACGTTGACTCGTAAAATTCGCTGCAATTTATCAAAAGAAAAGCGGATTACGCGCATAAAGAAAAACGAAAAAAAAAGCGCGCATAGAATCTAGGAAGTTATGGCACCACTTTTGTGTTACTTTATATTTCTATAAAAACATGTATAAAATAAAAGCTTCCTGATACTAAAAAAAAAAAAAAAGAATTCTTTGGATCGTACATGGGGAAACGATGTTGCCGTAGCAAATCTTGGGACATTCAAAATGTGGCTAAACCTAACGTCAGGATTTGTTCCTTCAGAGACGGTGCTTGATTCATTGCTACCAATAAAGACGAAGTTGAAAAAAAAAATCGCTCATTTGTGTTTTGATAAGCATATATGCTGCCCTTTTCGTACTTTAATTAAGCTTGGCATATAGGCAAACATAGGAAGCCAGTTAGTGAGATAGTTTGTGAACATGCCGGATGTTGTATTGGTATCAAATACTGTAAACGACTTAATTTTTGCGAGGACCTAATTTTTGCAAGTTTTGCGATTCGCCTGCGATTTGCGAAAAATAGGTCCCGTGAACAACGCCGGTAAAATGTAAACACATTGGAATCTATATTGATATCCCACCGCGTCGCAAAAATTAGAACCCGCGAATCATTTTAGAACTTCGGCGTTCACTAAATCGCGAAATATTGAGCCCTCGAAAAATAAGTCGTTTAGTGTACACACTTTGTACGCACAAAAAAACAACAACAAAAAAAAAAAAAGCTTTTTTTTTTTTTGTTTATTAAACATCTACAAATTGCTGAAGTGTAGCGCTAGCAATTTGGACCAACCGCCAAATTTCCGGAACAAACCGTCATATTATTTGAAATTATACATAAAAATCTGTGAACCTTTCAACGGGAAAATGGGGCTCGCTCCCGGCAGCTAACGCTCCAGGAGCGAGCCCCTTAACCGTTTTTTAGTTTTGGGAAATTTCTGACCCTCAACAGCTCACTCTCGGTCTCAAACATTACATTTGTTTCCTTCAAAATCAAGTTTCCAACCACAAAAAAAAAAAAAAAAAAAAAAAAAATTCAGTTTTGCCGCAGTGTTTTAAGTTAAGTCATGAGTGAGCCTGGTTCGTCCAAAATGGTTGAGTGCTTGAACCAGAGAAAGCAGACGAGCTATACTCGGCCTGAACGGTTTGGCTGGTGTTGATAAGCGATTGGTGTTTTCATCGAAAGTACCAAATGGTGGAGACATTCCGGAAAAAAGACATAATTTAAATCAAAGTAGGAAAAGCCGTGTGACATAAAACGTATCACGATTTGAATGGTGATCTAAATCATGACGGAAATCTTGTTCGTTTTTATTTTTTTCAATGTCCTTCGACTTTTCCGCATCAGATTTTCAGCATATCCATTTTCTCATACGTACACGGCTTTTTGTTATACATATTTTACTTCTGATTCAAATAGACTGTCCGTTAGGTACTTTGTTGTACGAACCAGAGACCTGACACTCGCAAATCGTACGTGACACGTCAGATAAATCCATATCCAAAGCCTAAGCAGCACGACTCTCGGGATTAGTTTAGAGTTCGAAAAGTTTCACAGGAACTGAAACGAGAGGCGTGCTACTCAAAATACTGGTTCATACATTGACTTAAAACGAAAGAAACTCATAAGAGGACGAAACAGACGACACCAAGGGCGTTGTGCAGCCTCGTGCATACAACGAAAGAACACAATAGCTCGCTGACGTCATCCATGAGTTAGCCCTGGAACTGTAGGGTTTTGAGTTTTTGCAAGCTCAAATGCACGTGCTACCCTTGACAGATATTCGCTAAAAGATCTTACAGCTCACGGTGAAAGAATAGCGATTGCATATCTGGAAACCGCAATATAAGCTCTTAGAAAAACAATTGAACTTTTGGGTGCCAAAAATTACGGGGTACTCTGAGCTAAGGCGAACGTCATTTTTACACCATGGTAGCCACCTGAAGCCACGTTATCCTCCGCTACAACAACAACAACAACAACAAAAAAGAAAAACTTGAGACAGATACGAGGAAAATAGCTTAAAACTCAATTGTGTCTCTTCTGTCGTTGCCAACAATCAGTTAACTATGTTGGGTAGCTAAGCAGGAGGATTATACGACGTCGGACCGGTGCTGGGGAGAGGGAAAGGGAAAGAATTCCGAGCGGACGAAGGAGAACGCCACTTTGAGTATTTTGTCCCAGTTCATGCTTAGCGACACAAGTTTAGCGACACAAATAGGAGAAATATAGTTGGAACGTGGAAGGTAAATGTTTTGTTCCTCTAAAAAAGGACTCGAAAATTCTATTTTAACGAAAATTCGAGCAACGAGCAACTTCTCCTAAAACTTACTTTAAGGAAAGTTTCGGCAACTGCTCATGAAACGTGTTTAAAGCAATACAAATAATAAAAGATTCGTTGAAAAAAAAAAAAACAACAACAACAACAACAACATCAAACCACGAATTTTAAGCGGTTTTCGTTTTATAGCAATGCACAAAGGTGTAGTCCAATCAGCCATTTTATAAAACTATGTTGGAACTACTACGCCAAGGCTTGCCAAAATAGAATGGACACGTTCGAATCCCCTCAGGTTTGTTATTTATTCACATGGCGTACGTTTTGAAATAACACATTGGGGGGTTCAAATAATTCAAGGAATGTCATGGAGCAATGAGAATTTCGAAAAGTGTTTCGAGATGAAAAAATAAACTAGCGAACACGCAAAAAAAGTAAAGATAAATAAATACCAGGCACCCGAACTCTACGAAAGGTTTCGTTTTTTTGTTTTTTTTCTGTCACGAACGTTGACGATCCTCGGTGTTTGACAGGATGCCCTTTTCACAGCCACTAAATTTGCTTGGAGTAGGGGCGTTGGCGACCCCTTACGCCGAGAGTGTCAACAGGTACCTCGTGAAGGCAACCCCAGCATGTGTGTCGTCACGTAGGGCAAGTGGAACAAGTCCAACAACTTGGAAAGTTCTATTTTACTGCTGTCCCACAGCCGAACGGAGTGGTCCACCGTGCCGCGCAGTGGCAGTCACCGCTAAGCGGAACTGAAAGCATATACATGGCTTGCACTACGGTGAATATATATATGACGAAGCCGAGCCTCTCGGCGAAACTGTCGTAATACATACCATAAAC